AGAGTTTGACTAAAACACCTGTCTTCTACTAAAACAAATAATGGTCCTATGAAGTTGATGTACAGCATCTGCAACATATTAAACTCTAGAGAGAGTTAATCTAGTTTAGTGCTAGGTGTATGGACTGCCCTAGATTTCCAGGCCTCTCTACCCACTATGTGTATGACCTGGGACAAGTTTCTGAATCTCTCAGTGTGTGTGTATTCATCTATAGAACTACAGTAAAACCTGCAAAGCCGGAACCTGTGTAAGACAAAAACCTGTCAGAGAAGGAAAACAAGGATTTTCCACTAAAACAAGCAATGAAAAAGTTGTAAGACTGCACTCTGTCGAAGGTGGAAAACTGGCGACACCCAGAAAAACAAGGCAGTCCCGTTCTGGCTCTCGCAGGTTTTACTGTGTAACCCATGTAAAGACTTAAGAGAGTGCCTGACACATAGTAAGTATTCAGTAAATGTCAGCAATTACATAGACGTTCCATTTTCCAGTAGCAGTTTGTATCAGTATTCCTTTGATAGCTTTACCTGCAGAAGATAAAGAGGTATTTGAGGTATTCTGTCAAAACAAATGGCTTTTTTTTTTTTTGTACCGCTCATGTAATTACATAACTTTGGCTCCTCTAGTAAAGAGGTATGGTTACTTGACTTATAATGGAACCTGTAGGAAAAAAATTAGAAAGATTGGTTAAAATTATATTTGTTTATGGTATCAGGTTCTACTTATAATTGTACATATTTTGTATTCTCTGAATAAGTGGTTGATGTAATTTAGAAAAGTACATGCTCAGCTTTCTCTTGAATATAATGTTTAGCTTTAAATGTTCTATTTTGTAAGTTTATATAGTAATAGTAAAGTACATATGTGAATTTGTATCTGATACACTACATCTTTGTCTCAACAATCTTAGGCTATGTCCCTTGCAGGGAAAAAAAATTAATATCATGTTTATCCTTCTGTTATCAACTCTAATAATGGACTTTATTTAAACAAAACTTTTTTGATACTGGTTGCTTTATCTGCTTTTAAGCATTAGGTATGTTTTCTTTTTCAGATTGGCAGACACATTTAAAAGAGCAGATGATCTTGACAGTCTTATTAATGAAATATTTGAAGAGCCTGACTTTGACAAAAAAACTTTTGTAAGTCAAGTGTTACAAATGTGCAGTAGTTCTTGCATTATTTCAAGATGTGTTTAGAATAGTCTGAAAACTTAAAGAAGGCACAAGTAGTATCTGTAGCCCTCTGAATTCTGAGAAATATAGTTATTTAAATAAATGATTCCCCTTAAGAGTTGTAGAAAAATTAAAATATGAAAAACTCTGGGTGTGTGTTTTGCTGTTCGTTGCTCAGCAAGAATGAGAAATTAGAAAAGGTATTAGAGCAAAAGTCAGCTCACAGATCAAGTTGCTTGCTTGTATTTATTTGTCAGCTCTAAGAATACTTTTCTGAAAAATTGAAAACAAACAGCTTTCATGATCATGCTACTGTTTTCCCAGGAACCAATGATTAAATCATCAGTTTTTCAATTTATAAAATGTTTATGTATATTTCAACTTTACGATAAGTTCAGAAAATAATGTAACAGCCACTTATGTATTTACAGCCCACTACTTTTCTGTATTGGGTAAGGAAAGAAAGATGTGTATGAATGGCTGGTCCATGCCCACGTTGTCCTTGTTGTTGGTAGTTGCCATCAAGTCAATTCCTCAGAGGCCATCTTATGTTCCTGAGAGTACTGCTTCCTACACCCTCTTGCTCTTAGACCCACCTAAGAGAGCCCAGGCACCAACAACAAACATCACAGCGTGCCTGCTTAGAGTCATAAACATGAGCCTGGATGTAAGGAAGAAGGTGGTTCATGAAACATGTTCCCCAAAACAAAAAGAGAATCATGCACATTATTATTTCTCAGACATGCACCAAAAAGTATTCCAGTTCTCTTTAACATTAAATAAAATAGTGAAGAGAAATCATAAAATGAAATATTTTTACCTCCATTAAATTTTCTAACCCACTAGGTAAAATGAAGGCATGTCCCTGCATAGTTTAAATTGCCTTTTCTCCATCTCACTTCCTCTTCTCAGCGGTGGTCTTAGTATGTGGTTGGTTTATATTGTTTGGTACCATATACCAGTTAACACTTAATAAATGCTTGCTAATGACGATGATGTTATGCAACCACATAGGAACTACTGTATAGTTGTGACTAAATAGCTCTACGTTTTCCTTGAACGTGTATTGGCTGATACCATTCCATTTGATCAAAATTAATATTCCTGAAGTTACCCAGGAGTTTGGTTAGCTTATTTTTAATTCAGATGAGTGCCATTCACAGCCTTTAAAATGAGTCTGATTTTTTTTTCCCCTCCTTAGTTGAATTTTTCCAGGATGAAGTTTTAAATAGTAGGTCCTTCATATTAAATCATTGAACTCTAGTATTAGCTGAAGAGTTATAAAAGGACTCTAAATCTTAGCATGCTAATAATGGCAGTATATCAGTTTCCTAGACTAAAAGTTAGCAAAGTAATTTGAAAATTCCTCAGGGAATTCTACTTCCTTCTTGCCTTTAAAAGGTTTTGATCATTGTTTTTATTTCAGGAACTTAATGATGCCACCAAGATTTTATTTAAGCCATTTTTAAAAAATTCTTATTATAAAATAAAGAATATTAGCTTTCATGTCGCACTTCTCTGAAGTTATCTTTGGCGTTTCCTTGTTTTGTTTTTTTAACAGAAATTAAAATCTAAATCTTCAGGTAACACATCTGTCAGAGCTTCCATTCAAGGCGTTGGTAAAAGGTAAGTTAAGATTGCTTTGGTGAATTATACACACTAGTGAGCAAACACTGGGAGCATAGTTTAGGAGATTTTGTTACCATTTAAACAGCAGTGACATTGAACAACAACAAAGCACTGATGGGCGTTTCAAAGAAAGGGCGCTAGCAATATCTTCAGTATTCTTATGGTCTGTGACCCCTTAGTGTATAAAGAACTTGAACGGGAGATTATTGCTATTGTAAATAATTTTCTGCCATGTGGAAAAAAAAAAAGTGTGAACAGTTTCTCAGAATTAATGTTCTGTTATATTCTTCAGTATTTGTCCCTTATATTATTTGGCAAACACATCTTTCTGTGACTCATTTTAACTCCTTGAGTGTTCCTGAATGTACATGTTATATCCAGTAAAGCAGTGATCATGGGATGCATACCTCTTCTTTGAAACAGTTGGCTTGCTAGGGAAAATATACAGTTTGATTACAACAACATAGAGTCAACGAGGCTAAATTAACTTCTCATATTTCTTTTTGTTGTAATTTCACTTTTCTCCCATCTGTTGAACACATCTAGTTGCAGTCCAGTGTACCTTGGTGGAAGTACTGCTCCATGTGGTATTGGAACAAATATCTCTCAGAGGTAGGATATCAGAAATATATTCTACTTTCTTGTTAGATTTTTCAAAATTGATGTCCTGTTGTTAAAAGTAGTTCTTATTGTCTTGGCATCAATTTGTTTTATAATGAGAGGCATATTTTACTAGCCAATCTAAAAATGTTCTATTGAAATATTTATTATTCTTAGGGGTTAGCTATTTAAAGCTGTAATGTTGGGTACGTATTGTTTGTTGTGTTGAGGTCTTTTGAAGCCCCACAGTACCTGGATCGCTCCAGCACAGTTTACACAGGACTCCAAGAAAGTAAACTTCCGTCTTTCCATTTTTCCTTCCAAGCAGTGAAGCCACTGGGTAAGACAGGTGAAGCAATGTGGCTGTGTAGCTACAGGACTCGTTACCTAAACTGACGACCAAACCAGTCAGCATGGGAAGTTACGAGTGTGCAGCACCCAAAAAGTTCTCAAACAGACACTTGGTTTTACCTATTTACATATTTCAAAAGCAGAAACCCTTCTTTTCTTTGCTTCTCCTCTTCTTCCTCCACCCATGTTCCCACTCAGGACCTCTAACAGGGCATGTCTCTGTCATGATGCCACCTACCTCAAGCCCATGTTAGCCTCATACTCCCAGCACATTCCGTATCATAATATAGGGAAACAGGTTGATTACAAGCAAATCTTTCTACTGTCCTGCTATTTTGGGTTCCACTTTCAGCAGAGGCCTGCTTATCTAAGTTACTTTATTTTTGTCTAGTTATTTCTAAAACACTTTTTTTTAATATTTTTATGGAAGAAATGACTGAAATATGTGATTGCATGGTGATGACATTTCTGGAGGGGTAACCGTTATATTGCATGATAGAAGAGGGATCTAAAAAGACATTGTTGGAGAGTTATAGTGGTGCTGGCCTAGATGCTTGGGAGCCTGGAAAGAAGGGCTGTAGGACCAAAGTGAAATTGAGAGTCTGGGGATAAATCCACAGGGTGCTGCCTGCTATGAGTACTGTAAATAAGAATTGACAGCGGTTGAATCATCATGTGTTGAAGAGTCTATACAAAGAATTAGAGAGACAGACTGCCCATAGAGAAGAATATAGTCTTGTTGCTGTCATTCCTGAGTTATCTTAGTCAGCTCAGCTGGACTCATGTCATTCATTCCCAGAGCTGTTCAACCTCTAATCCAAGCTTTGTCAAGTCACTTATGAATTACAGCAGCAATGTCCCGGTTACCATCCCATTTCCATCTTCCCTCCTTCTCTAGTCTCACCCACATAGAGCGTTAGAGATTATTTTGAGCACCTCTCCCCTGTTCAGGAGGAAATAAGAGTTGCCATTTGTCTCTCATGAACTCTAAACTCATTATGTGCTCTACCAAATTGTTATCCTTATTCTTTCTCTTGTCACTTGAGTTCCTTTTCCAGCTAAAGCCTGCGCCAGATACTCCACTCTCACTAGAACTTCTGTTATCATCCCCTGCTTTCCACTTTCATTTTTCTGCCTCTGAGCATTTTTAACATTTATTCCCTGTCTGGAGTGACCCTCCTTTCCAAAGCCTGTCCCCTACTGTGTTACCAGCTTAATTCATCCACTTCAAATTGATATTTTTTTTCTGCTTCAAATTTTTTTCTTCTCTTTTTTTAATATTCATCAAATGCCCAGCATGACCTAGGCCCTGGGCTAGGCACCAGATGCTACAGAAATATAAAACACTGGCAGCAGGGGAAGCGATAAAGAAGCAAATGATTACACCTATGGCACTGAGAGGAAGGGCTCTGATGGCAGCCTGCCTGAGTTCAGCTCCTGACTGTGCCACTTACAAGCTATGAAGCCTGGGAAATGGATGTTATCTTCTAAAACTTCAGTTTTCTTGCCCATAAAAAGGATACATCCTTCACGGAGATATTGTGAGGATTAAATTAAATAATGCATTAAAGTTCTGCCTAGGGTGCAAAAACAGCTGGCCCCTGTGGGTCTACTACACTGCAGTTATTTACATGTCTTTCTCATCTATGAATCCAGTTTTCTCATTATGTTATATCTCAGGAGCAAGAATTCTATATTCTACTACTTTTTTTCGATTTTGTCTCAGGGTGTATATATATATATATATATATATAAGTGTTTACTTACAGGTACCTTCTGATTTTAAAAATGATCTTTCAGAAAAAGACAATACATTCTGGTTCATTTCCAAAGAGCAACTGTTTAAGGTTTTCTTACATACAGTATATACTTGTGTGTACTTTAATTTAGTTCTAACATAGAAGAGTCTTGTTCCATATGGAATTTTGGTAGGAAAAATAAGGGCCTGATTTTAAAGCTTGAGGGTCCTATCACGTAATATTGGTCCTTGAGGATGCCAAAATCCATCAAATCCCATTCCTGTCTTCTGCACAGCTACAGGAGGAGAAAACATACCGTTTGCATATATATGCATAGGTAGATGTTTATATTCACAGATTGTTTCTTCTTCACCCATCACAAAGATAGCAGTCATTGACCACCCTTTTCATAGATCTCACCCATAGAAGATAAGTACATCCATATTCATGTACATGTAAAACATTTTATGTGTGAAGCACTTTATAGTTTCCAGATCACTTTTTATATGTGTATATTAGTTCATCTGTTCCATAGACAAAAACTCAATATCCAGATAGAGCAAGAATTTTTAGCCCCATTTTTTTAATGAGGAAATTGAGACACCAATGTTAAATTCATCAAACACATATTCATTAATCATCTACTAAGTCTAGGGATTGAGTGAATAAATGGACACTTTGCAGCCCTCATAGAGCTTTCAGTTTAAGGGAGGCATAGACATTAAACAGATAATTCCATAAATAAACTAATTTCAGTGTAATATGTGATATGAAGGGAAAGTACAGCATACTATAAGCGTGGATAATGGGTACCCTAACTAATATGAAGATCAGGGAATGCTTCCCTAAGCAGATAACATATAATTAAACCAATATATAAAAATGAGTAAGAGTTAAGCAAGGAGAGAGGACCACTGGAGCCAGAAAAGCCACTGGAGCCATGTTAGAAGACCCCTGAGATGGGAAGGAGCTAGGGGTATTGGAGGAACAGAGAGCAGCTGGATGGGCTGGAGCATAGTAAGTAGGGAAGAGAATGGCTCCTGATGGGGCTGGAGAGGTAGCTGAGGAACAGATGATTTAGGATCCTTTGGTCCTCTGAAGGGTTTTACAGAAGTGTATCCTAAGTGTAGTGGGAAGCCACTGGGTGTTTTGTTTGTTCTAGCAGATGTTGTTTTGTGACTTCAAGTCAATTCTGACTCATAGCTACCCTATAGAATAGAGTAGAACTGCCCCATAGGGTTTCCTAGACTACAGTCATTACGGCCGCAGATCACCAGGTCCTTACTCCCGTGGAGCCACTGGTAGATTGGTTAGCAGCCGAGTGCATAACCATTGTACCACCATGGTGCCTTCTTTTAGCAGGCAGGGGTGATATAATCAGATTTGTGTTTATTTTAAAAAGACATTTTGGCTGCTGTGTGGAAATGGATTGGAAGTTGGAGGGGCAAGAAAGGAGAGGGCATAGGGAGACCAGTCAGCAGGCAGTATTGCAGTGGTCCAGGAAAGATGATGGTAGCTGTGACCTGGGTGGTGGTAGTGGCTACGGGGAAAAGGTGTCAGATTTGAGGAATATTTAGAATATATAATTGACAGAATTCAGTTATTAATGTGCCTCGCCCAAGGTCACATAACAAATTATTACAAAGCAAGAGCTGTAACATGTGACTTGATTCCTAGTTCATTATGCTTTCTAGTATACCATTTTACAGAAGCCCATGTGATATGTTTAAGAGGGAAGAGCTTTATTGCTTTTGCTGTTGCAGCTCCTGTTATTTTCAAACTCTGCCCAAACAGCAAGACTCCTCAGCCCCACTAGGTAGATCAGACATGATTTAACTGAAAACCACAGTATCTGGGCAAAATACTGTATTGGGCTGTATTTCGGGCAGTCCTGCCATAAACATCTCCAAAATTGTCAAGATTCTATATATTTGCAGGAGAAAAGGACATAGCTGTTTGTGACACTTTCTATTGGAATTTCTTCAACACTTTAGAGGAAAAGATCTGACAATTTATCTCATTGGAATTATGATTTTATATTAGATACACTTTTTTACATATAGTTATGAAAGAGAAGTATATTTAGCCATGAAAATAAGCACAGATTTACATGCCCAGGACATAAAGGAAATTGAGTATATTGTGCATATTTTGCATTTATTTTGTTTGTTTGACTTCTAGATAAAGTTCTGGTTTGAAGGTAATACTGAGTGATTTTAGAATCTTATACCCAGTTAGTGGAAAGGATAATGAGTAGTAGCTGGAAGTATGGTAGCATTAGTAAGTGGTATATTGAGACCAACGTGGTATTTTCAAGCTACATTGAATTATTTGGCTAATTATTTTTTAAACTACTTGCAAGACGGGATTATTCATAGACTGGTACTAATTATGATCTAATAGAATGAATCGTAACAGTGGAATGATTTCTTAGCTGCAAGTTAGTTTTATTTTTCTCAAAGGACAGTGTTTGTAGGAAAATGTGGTAGTGTGAATAGATTTGAATAAACTACTAAATTTTAAATTAAATTAAAAAGCTGTATTTAACATAATGGTTGAGTTTTACGCATACAAAATGTCAGGAAGTTCTAAATTATAGTTCCCACAACAGCAGTAATTCAGCCAAATTGCACATATGTATTAAGGCATTAAAGTTAACACTCTGTACAATCATGTAATAAACTACGTATGCATAAGAAAGCAAGTTATGGCAGCTTTGGGAACCATCATTTTGCATTTCCTGACTTGTACGTTCAAAATCTCAATTTAAATGTGTATGAATGTAATTGTGTCAAATTTCTACATGTAACAACTTCATAAATTGCTAACAGTTTGAAAGAAAATACGGAATTGTTTATGAAACTTAGATGTATTTTAAATGTTTAGTTATTCCTATGATTAATAATGTTTTTTAAATATATA